GCCACGCTCTGCTCCGCACCATGTGTGCGTTGCCCTTCTGCAGCAGCACACTAAGTCGAGCCCACCACCTCTCCACTGCTGTCTCGCGGAAAAACTCCACATCGCCCTCCTCCATATAGATAGGTGGCCGCATGTGCCGGGCCATACGGTTGAGAAGGGCAGCCGCCTCGTCCCCCCACCGTCCGTAGCTCTCCGCCGACAGTGGGACGATGGTAAAGTTGCTTGCTCTCGCCTCTGTGCCGTACTTGCTGTGCTTCCTGTCGGCCGCGTTGCGCAGCGCCTTGCCTCTTCTGCTCCGTTCTGTTATGGAGTGACTTCACGTCTCTGAGTGGCCTGTGGGCCTCAGACTTGTGAATATCCCGATGACACCCGATTGCGGATGGATGCACTCATGCATATGCGCACAGCTTGCGTCCCATCCCCAAAAGCCTCGCCGCCTGACTGACGACCACCAGACACGCAGACCGAGAGGGAAGGCGCACAGGCTGTGTGGCTGACGGATGCTCGGCCAGGCCGTGTGGAACTCACGCCTCTCCTGATGCTATTGTTTGCGTTGAGGAAGACCCTGACAGCTGCTGCGGCGCGTCAGATTGAGTCCCTGCGCGCATGTACACACACAGGGTGATGTGTGTCAGGTGTCATGAGGGCGTGCAGGCATCCGAAGATGCACGCAGGCGAGATGCAGAGCAACAGGCAGGGGTTCTCGCCCGCGTGACACGATGGTGGCAGCGTGCCACCCTCCCAAGGCCAACGCACCTGCCGATGGATTCAGTGCAGAGGACGTGTTTGAGCCAGAGGGGTGCCGCCGCGCCCCTCGTGGTCCACGCCGGAGAGAGAGTGAGAGAGGAGAGAGAGATGGCGGCTGACAGGCTGATCTGGGCTGGGGGTGCGGGCAGTTGCCAGGATAGAGAGGGGGGGGGGAGTAGGCACACGTGTAGGAGCACACGTAGAGAGCATTCTGCGCCTTCCATGCCCCCTGTCCCTCTCCTTGCACGCCTAGCTCACAGAGCATTTACGCTTCCTAGCCAATCGCCTAGCTCGCCCTCTTTCCCCATTCCCTGCTTTGGAGCTTTTTCCTCGCTTTTGGCGTGATCTTCGTTGATATTGGACCTTTCGTCGTTTGGAAAACACCATCCTCCTGCGATTCAACCATCTGGGGTGACGCTCCTTGCCATCCAACCGCCATCTAACATCGCGGCGTCCATCCACTGCCACAGGCGGGTAGCGGGATGGGAAGTGCACAAAGAAAGGCGAACAAAGCACTGAGCCAGGCATCCTGAGGCATGGTACGTTGTGCGCTGGCTCCGGCCTGAGAGAGATGGCCCGGAGCGGTTGCCGGTGTGGCCGTGTAAGGGCGCCCAAGAGGGTATCAGGGGGTGCACAGCGGTCATGCTGGAGGGCTCTGTCTGTCAAGGTGTCGAGTTCGCTGGCCGGCGTGCCGCTCCCTCCTGCATCGCAGCGCTGGGCCTTCCCTCACCAAGATCTGTCCAAGATCTGGGAAGATCTGTGCCCACAAGGCCTTCTGCTGGCCCTCGGCTGTCTTACCGACACGAGATTGGCCTTCCCGACATCAATTCAGGCCTCCCTGCACGTCATTTGATGCTGAGCTGTGGAGATCTGGCCTCTGGCTGGGTTTGTTGTGGAGATCTTTCATTTCTGCTGGTGTGGTGGTGATGCTGGGCTGCTGGGCGCTTGCCTGACATCTTCTTCCTCCACCCATGTGCCCGATGCGCTGAGCTCCGCTCGCTCCGGTGCCTTGTGGTGTGGAGGTCTGGTGCTGCTGATGATGCTGCGGTGCTGTCTGAGCGTTCGCTCATGGGTGTGGCATTGTATGACCACCGGCATGACCCGTGTGTCGACATGCCCTTGTGGTGTGGTGTGCGGCTTCGCCCCACCCATGCCTCGCGTCTTGTATGTCATTGTGGATGATGGACGGTTCATGCTTCGTGGACTCTGACGTGCATATACATGGCTGTGATGCGATTGGGTTGGCCTAGCTGCGGGTGCAGACGATGAATGGACATTGGGTGATGATCTCGTTCTCTGAACGATTGATGCCACCCCGCGATGACGAGGCACACACTTGACACGCATTGACGAGATCCCCATCATACTAGACACTGATGCGTTGAGCGATGCCCTTTTGGCGCATACACGGGTCCCCCATCCAGAGGTCTTGAGTTCGTTTGACTCCCTCTGTGAGGGCGCGACTGGCCAGCCTGGCGGGGATCCCAGGCCCCCAGACGTCCCCCTCTCACAGCGGCATCGTCTACTCGACCACCCCAGATGGGTATCGGGCCCGATGGGTATTCAGTAGAGGTCAAGACCACATCGATGCGTCAGTGTCGTCTTTTGCTAACTCCATAATCCTCCGGCACTTCAGCGGGACTCACCAGACCAACGGCACATTTACTCAACTTAACAGGTAGCACACCAAAGGAATCAATGGGGCCGGGAGGGGCACAGCACGAATCGTTTGTTGGTGTGAGGTTGGTTCAGGGGTGTCGGTGGCGGCCGTCTGAATGACCTCCTCACCCAGTCGCCCCACACACCAGTGGCCGGCTGTACGACCACACTCAGCCGGCGCGAGGCTCACTGGTGTGGGGACGGTCGTGTGCGACAGCTGGTGCTCACCAACAGCAGTCACCCCTTCGTCGCATGGGTTGAGATTCTGACAATTGGAAACAACACCGGTCAGCGTGACAGAGAGGCAGTGCTGCTGGTCAAATGTCGAGCGTTCTTCTTGCCCTTTCTCTGCAGTCGATGTCCGTGTCGTGACGACTGAGGCGGCTGTGTGTGAGAGGGGTGGTCTGTTCAAGCACGGCTTCCCCGTCACCACTCAGCTGGCTCGCGTGGCGTTGGGGGCGGTGGGGCCATTCGTATTCGACGGACAAGTACAGCAGCAGCAGCAGCAGCAAAAGCAAGATGACGACAGCGACGACGGTACGGACAGATGGATGGATGGATGGATCCATGATGTGCCTTCTCTCTCTCTCTCTCTCTCTCTGTGTGTGCAGATGCGGACGATGGCAGCGGAGATGGGAGTGACGATATGGATGACGGCGGCGGAGGTACACACAACAGAGGCCCCCACATCGACCTGCGCCACCCATGGCTGTGTGTGTGTGTGTGTGTGCCTTGGGCAGGTGACGGTGGCGCAGCTGAGGCGGAGGGCGGCGACTGACCGATCCATCAGCCAACACGCACTGGTGGTGCGCAGCGATACATCCCCTCTGTCACCGGGGGGGGAGGCCAACCGGACAGGATTGTTGAGCTGCGTTGTATGTGTGAGACATTCTCTCGTGGCTGCTCGGAGTGATTGGACGAATATCATTCGGTGTGTGTCGTGCATGTTGGTTTGTTCGTTCGTTAACGGACACCGAGGTCCCGGCCCCTGAGGGCATGCTGTGTCCATGAAACCGTTTGTCACATCGAGGAAACTAAGAAAGCCATCGCTTGCGCCATCAAAAGAAACTAAGCCAGCGCACGTTGCACAGGGAGAGACCATGCAAATACCATGCAACGTGCATCACAATGAGCGAGTCGATCAACTCCTTCACCCAAACTGTCTGATGAACACTCGCTGTGAAGTCGGTCTGCCACCGTTCCCATCTCATGCGATCGATGTCGGTCGGTCTGTCTGTCTGTCTTTGTCGGTCTCTCCCCGTGTTGGTGGAGCGTATTTGTGTGTCTGTCTGTCTGTCTGTCTGTCCTCAGCGGATGGCCCACAGCTCAATGTCATCAGCCATGAGCACCGCCGCCTCAGTCTCGATGTCGGCCAAGTACCAGCGTGAGTCGGTCTCACTCGGGCCGCCACTCACCTTGAGCATCACCTCCTCGCCTCGCTGACGAGACACACACACAAGATGCGTATCACACCATGGTATGGTGTGATACGCCTGACTGACTGACTGGCACAGCCCACCTGCAAGGAAACGAATCCCCGGCCCGACCCGTCTCTGGTCATGGCCACACACAGCTTGACGGTCTTGGACGTCACGGGCAGCTGCACCGAGGGGTCGTTGGTCTTGATGTGCAGCATCACGGCATAGACAGTCGCAGACGTCAGTGTGTGTGTGGGGGGCACGTCGGGTGGTTTTGAGCAGGGTGGGCGAGCTCTGCATGACAATTGCATGGCTGCATGGCTCGTCGCTGTCACAGTGATGGATCATGAGACACAGTGGGCCGGAGGGCAGCTCGTGGCGCACGGCGTGGGTGACTGAGTGGCAGAGAGCACTCAGTGTGTTGTTCGCCTCACTTGCCCTGCGAACAACACTCACACACCACACACAGATGAGCACGTGCCCCTCTCTCTGTCCCTCTGTGTGGCCTGGCTGCAAATTTCCCTCGGGACCCTGACCCTTCGACTCGACTCACTTGTGCAGCTTGTGGAGCACATTGTGTGGCAGGTTCATGGCCCTGCACTTGGTCAGCACCACCTCCAGGGCAGCAGCAGACACCGTTGCAGTATCCACCTTCGGGTGGGATGCTGGCGCGGCGGTGAGGGTGCGTGCGGCAGTGGGTGTGTGTGGCAGTGGCTGCAGGCGGGCGGGGGGCGGGAGAGGGGGCGTCTTGGCTGTGTTGTTGGCCGGTGGTCGTGCGCGAGAAGAAGATGGCGCGGCGCTGGGACGCATCGGCGGCGGCGGCGGCGGCGAGACGGGTCGCTGCGAAAACGGGTCCTGATCACACACACATGCATCAGCACAGAGAATGAGTGTGAGTCGGCGTGTTGTCTTCGTGTGTGTGAGGCAGCTAGTTTACCTGCACCCGCTTCCAAACCGGTTCATGTCCACAGCGGGGTCGGTCGGCGTAGAGACCTCCAACTGGCCTCGACGACTGCTTGTCGGGCTCAGGTGTGGTGGTGTGCTCGGAAAAAGGCCGAGAGTCGCCATGATCGATGTAGACACGCCGCACTGGCACAGACACGTCATCGACAGGCGAACGCTCGGCACGCGACTGAAGGAAACATGGCACACGATCCATCCATCCATCCATCCATTCATCCACCCCTCTCTGTCTTTGTGTGTTGACCTGTGTGTTGTCAACTGACGCAGCAGCAACAACATCTTCAACAACCGAACGCAGCACACGACGCACCTGAACAGCAGAAGCATCCACACAAGGCCTTCGTCCCTCCCTCTATCTCTGTGTGAGTGTGTTGTGTATGTTGACCTGTGCATCGTCATCGTCGATGTCGTTCTGCCTGCGGCGACGACGTGTGGTGGGCGGCATCGGCAAATCGCTGAACTGGTCCTGTCGACACCGTCACGGGCACTTGGTCTTAGTGAGTGTGTGTTCCTGTGTATGTGTCACCTCTGAGTTGTCGTTGGTGCGGACATTGCGGAAACAAGAGCGATACGGCGGTGGATTGATCACCTGAGACACACATACACACACACACACACACATACCATCCGTCTGTCTGTCTGTCTGTCTGTCACAACTACTCGGAGCATCATCATTGGATCTGCAGTGTCTCACCCCGTCGCCTGAGCTGTCACTGTCCTGGTGGCGCTGTCTCTCCGAGCTGAGTTGAATGGGCAGCGGGCGATCAGCCATACGTGAACTCTGACCACAAGCAGCGACCAACCAATGAACGAATGAGCGAAGGAGCGAACGTGCTTGTTTGCCTGTCTGCCTGTCTGGCTGTCTGGCGGGGCGTACCATGATGAATTGACTGACTGACTGACTGACTGACGCACTCTTGGCAGACGTCCACACGATGCGACGCGAGTCACCGATACACTTTGAGCAGCAATGACTGAGCAAAAGTCGACACTTCCTTCGTCAGTCGATGATCACCGTCGACCGATCGATCGATCGTCCGTTGCTTCCTTTGTTTGTGTATACGTACGTAAAGAAAGACACGACGATCGACCTGCACAAACTCAACGGATCACACGTGCAGGTGGATGCACACGTGATGTCGTGAATGGCTGGCTCTTCTGTGACCGGTCGGTGAGTGCTGTTTGTACGTATGTATTCATTGTGGTAGGTAATCATGCATGGGAGTCAGTCAGTCACATGCACACACACACACGCATGCACTCGTCCGTCATCCGACTACAACAACAAATCCCGTCCACTGATCTCTCTCGCTCTCGCGCGCACAACTATAGACATAAATAAGTGCACTCTCTCACACACACATGGACTGCACCGCACCTCACACCCACACCCACACAGGCACTCTTGCTTGTTTCATCAAACCTCCAACTCCATCCCTCCCTCCCTCCCTCCCTCAACACAACGCACCGTACCGTAATTAGCAGAGGTCCGCACACGCACACTCATGCACACACACATGGATGGACGCTCTCTGTCCGTCACAGGTCGAATTTGCGTGTTAGGTGACCTGTCTGTCTGTCTGGTATGGCTGACTGCAGGGAGGAGGGAGAGGTAGCGAGGGAGGGAGGGAGGCGAGGGAAAAAATAGGCAGCTAGGCGTTGCAATCGGTCACCTGTATCTGTCTTCACAATGAGTGCATCGCTTGTGGCCGCGTCTGCGTGTGTGTGTGTGTGTGTGCATGAGGTTCAGATCTGGTCAGTGAGCAGCAGCAGCAGCAGCAGCAGCCAACGGAGAAAGTTATAAGTGAGGATCAATCGTCAGCACCACAGATCGAAGAAAGAAGAGGCCACACCACAGGAAGGAGACATGAAGAGAGAGAGGGCTGCATGGCCATATGGGATGGGTGGCTGCATGCTCAAGCTCCGCATGCACGCAGCTATTGTACACACAGACACACACGCAACGCAAAACCGACACCCACACACCGCATCCAGCCATGCCATAGATGATGCACATGCCGTTGGCAGAACACACAAGACACACACACAGCAACCTCTCTCAGGCAGCCAGGCAGCCAGGCAGGCAACCAGGGAGGCAGGGAGGGAGGGGTTAAGAATGAAAGAAAACAAGAATGGGCAACCGAAAGGCGACCGCAAAGGGGAGGAGGGACCATGAGGCTATTCTGGTCCGCACTGACTGACTTGACGATAAGAGGGGTAGGCGGGGAGGGGTGGGGAGGGGAGGGGGCATCATGTCAGGTCACTGTGTGCTGGTGTTGGCTATCATAGTGCTCTTGCCGCCCTGCTCGGCCAGCCACCACTTGGGGACCAGCTTCTCGCGCATCTCGGGCGTGCACTCATCCAGCTCCTCTGAGGGCACACAACACAGAGAGAGAACCAGACAGACAGACAACACTTTCATATGTAGAGTGGACAGGTCAGTCAGTGCAGACGCTGCAGACGCACCTTGTGTGAAGTTGAAAAGAGGCGGGAGGCTCCTGCTGTTGGGCAACCTATATAATAGAGACACACATAAGGACAGCACGAACAGAAGACGATGCCATGGTGTGGTGCACTCAGAGAGACAGCAGGACGCCCCGACGGACAGACCTTGTGTTGGGGTCTCTGAGCTCGTCGAAGAACTCGTGGCAAAGTATCTTCATGGGCTTCAGGCGGGCGGTGGGGTCGTACTGCAGCAAAGCATTCACCAAATCCAACGCCTCCACCGATGTGCGCGGACGAAACACCTTCCCAACACACACAGAGAGACGAAGATGGACACACAGGCAGTCAGATCCATGGTGTCTGGTGTCGCATGTGTGTGTGTACCTTGTTCCATGGGTGTGGTTTGATTTGTGGGAACTTGAATTCGGTGTAGTTGGGGTTCATCGCCATCAGCTGCTCGCGGGAGGGGGTACCCAACACCTGCACACATACGCACCCACCGCACAGACGGATAAAGAGCTGTAGGTGTGGTGTGATTGGACTGTGTGGGTCGGTGAATGGTGCTGCTGACTTTGATGATTTCGACGAGTTGGTCGACGCCCGACTCGCCGGGGAACAGTGGCTGGCCCAATATCATCTCGGCCATCACACAACCTGCGCACACACAGACAGACAGACAGACACAGACAGATCAGCGGATATGTGTGTGTGTTGTGTGAACGAGGGACTGGATTTGCATACCCATGCTCCAAATATCAATGGCCGTCGTGTAGTCTGTCGCGCCGAATATCAGCTCCGGCGCGCGGTAGTACCTGCCCACACACAGACATGTGAAAGACGGCATGCCATCTGTCTGTCTGTCCGCCCCTACTGACTGACTGACTGACCTTGAGCATATGTAGGCGACGTTCGGCTCGCCGGACACCAGCCGCTTGGCGGATCCAAAATCACACAACTTCAGCACCTGCACATCAGCCAGCGCCCGCGCGCGTGTGCTGGTGTGTGTGCCCACTCTTCCTTCCACTGACCTGTGTCTTGCCGTCTACGAGGAGGTTTTGTGGTTTGATGTCCCGATGGCAGATGCCTTTGGCGTGCAGATACGCCAGGGCACGGGCCATCTGCACACACACACACACACACACACACATACATACAGCGCCATCCATCCATCGATCCCGTGTGCGTGTCCGTCTGTGTGTGTGAGTCTTGTCAAGACCTGGTAGACGTATAGCTTGACGTAAAGAATGGGCATGGTCTGTTTGAGTTTAGCGTAGTGCTTCATCATTCGGTAGGCCGTGTCGGAGAGGTACTCCATCACCACATTCAGAAACAACTCATCCTGCACACACATACATATCATCGACACACACACACACACACGTTGATGCTCCCGTGGTGTCCCCTCCCTCCCTCCCTCCTTCCCTCCCTCCCTCTCTGGCTCCTTCCCCCCCTTGTGACCTTGTCGCCTGTCGTGTGGAAAGCGTTGTGCAGCTGTACGACGTTTGGGTGTCGTAGTTCCCGCATGATCTGCAGCTCCCTGTTCTTGTACCGCTTGTCCTGGAACACCTTCTTGATCGCCACCGTCTCCTGAGTCTCCACTACTTGAGCCTGGTGAGTGGACCACACACAACACACACATACACACATACGCACATACACACATACGCACATACACACATACACACATACACACACCTCTTTCTCCCTCTCTCCACCTGCCCGTGTGTGTGCGTGTGTGTGTGACGCCCCTCTCTCTCACCTGGTAGACGATCCCGAAGCTTCCATTGCCGATAACCCTTTCCGCGTTGTAAGTGAAGTTTTGCCTCTCCTTGCCCCTCTCGCCCAGCAGCGCCGAGCTGGACCCGCCCCCGTCCTCCTTGCCATGCCCCGCTGCCCCACCGGTCTCGTCCTTGATCTGCATGGCTGTCACCGACTGACGCAGAGTCTCCACAGGGGCGGCCATAGAGAGGACAGACGACACCGGTCTACCGCTCGTGTCTGTCTTGACACCGAGAGAGCGGGAGAACGAGAGGTAGAGAGGATGCTAGGGGGTGGTTCGGAATCAGCCGAGGGAGGCCGACCGCTAGAGATAGCAGCAGGGGGCGCACTGGGCCGCTCGCAGCGACTGTTTCTCGCCGCAAACGCCGAAAGAGGACACCCTCAGGCTGCGGGTCGCTGCGCAGAATCCTGCCGAGACAGAAAGTGGGACAAACGATGGGTGCTGCTTATTTGTCCGCCAAAACCCCTTGCAGCGCGTGCGAGGGAGGGGAGAGGGGACACAGCGGGCGAGAACGGAGAGATTCCCGAAGGACAAGCTCGCATGAGCTAGCAACAGGCGCCAGATGAAGCAAGAGATGCAGATCTGTGATTCATCTTTGTTTTCTGCATGTTCCTGGTCCGTTCAACCGCAGACGCCCCGAGGTGGTGCAGTGGCACACAGGGTGAGGTGCCGAGATCGCGGTGATAAGCTCGTGAGCATCAGTGAAAGTATCCGGGCACAGCTCTGGCGAAGGCTCACGATGACGGTGCGTGTCTGCACGCATTCATATCCTGCGCGCAGGACGGTGCGAAGGTGAGTGCCCGATGGATGAGCAAGACGCGAAGATGCCAAAGACGGGAACACTCGGTGACGCATGTGTGAATGCTGATGAGGTCCAAGATGACAGAGCGTACGGACGTCCACGTCGGTGGCAATTGGTCGGTGGCGGAGGAGCTGCGGGCCAATCAGAGCGTCGTAGAGCTCCAAGAGGCACAGCGGGGGATGACAGGGGTACGCATTCGGATGTGGATACCATGCGAATTGGGAGACCACCGGCTGTATCATCATGTGATGGCGTGGGATGCGGTGTGAGTGTGTGACTGTGTGTGCAGACTACCACATGCTGCGTGTCTGCACGCTTCATGTACCAGCGGAAGGTGAGCTGGGGCAGATTGGTGGATTCCTCAACAAGGCAGAATGCAGAACGAGGAGGAAACGGTGGCGATTTGGGAAGTTTGGCAGGGCAGCAAGAGTGATTCACACAGCTGCTGCTTCGCCGATCGCATGTGAAGTCTGCCGATCCACTGGGCAGGCGGAAGGAGCTCAGATACATCCCTGCTGGCCCTGTGTGTGCCCGTGTCTGTGTGAGTGTCTGTGTGTGTAGGACGTCAATGGCATCGAGTTCGATGAGAGGAGAGTGACTGGCCGAGTTCAAAACTGAAACAGGTCGATCATGGCGACTCTCGGCCTTTTCCCGAGCACACCCCCACCCCCGAGCCCGACAAGCAGTCGACTGGCGTGCCGTCGAGGCCAGTTGGAGGTCTCTACGCCGACCGACCCCGCTGTGGACATGAACCGGTGTGGAAGCGTGTGCAGGTAAATTAACTGCCTGACACGCACGATTTAAGACGACACGCCGACTCACACTCATTCTCTGTGCTCATACATGCATGTGTGTGTGACCAGGACCCCTTCTCGCAGCGACCCGTCTCGCCGCCGCCGCCGCCGCCGCCGATGCGTTCCAGCGCCGCGCCATCTTCTCGCCCACGACCACTCGCCAACAGCACAGCCAAGCCGCACCCTCCTCCGCCCCCTGCCCGCCTGCATCCACTGCCGCACACACCCACTGCCGCACGCACCCTCACCGCCGCGCCAGCATCCCACAAGAAGGTGGATACTGCAACGGTGTCTGCTGCTGCCCTGGAGGTGGTGCTGACCAAGTGCAGGGCCATGACCCTGCCACACAATGTGCTCCACAAGCTGCACAAGTGAGTCGAGTCGAAGGGTCAGGGTCCCGAGGGAAATTTGCAGCCAGGCCACACAGAGGGACAGAGAGAGGGGCACCTGCTCATCTGTGTGTGGTGTGTGAGTGTTGTTCGCAGGGCGAGTGAGTGTAACAACACACTGAGTGCCCTCTGCCACTCAGTCACTCACGCCATGCGCCACGAGCTGCCCTCCGGCCCACTCTGTCTCATGATCCATCACTGCGACAGCGACGAGCCGCACAGCCATGCAATTGTCATGCAGAGCTCGCCCACCCTGCTCAAACCACCCGACGTGCCCCCCACACACACACTGACGTCTGCGATTGTCTATGCCGTGATGCTGCACATCAAGACCAACAGCCCCTCGGTGCAGCTGCCCGTGACGTCCAAGACCGTCAAGCTGTGTGTGGCCATGACCATAGACGGGTCGGGCCGGGGATTCGTTTCGTTGCAGGTGTGGTGTGCCAGTCAGTCAGTCAGGCGACACACAGACACCACGACCATAGTGTGATACGTATCTTGTGTGTGTGTGTCTCGTTAGCGAGGCGAGGATATGATGCTCAAGGTGGGTGGCGGCCCGAGTGAGACCGACTCACGCTGGTACTTGGCCGACATCGAGACTGAGGCGGCGGTGCTCATGGCGGATGACATTGAGCTGTGGGCCATCCGCTGAGCACAGACAGACGGACAGACAGACACACAAATACGCTCCACCAACACGGGGAGAGACCGACAAAGACAGACAGACAGACCGACATCGATCGCATGAGATGGGTACGGTGGCAGACCGACTTCACAGAGTGACCTGTTCATCATGCGTGTGTCTTCATGGACTGAAATTTTGGATCTGATCGCAGTGTCTTCATCCAAAATTTCACACGAAGGAGTTGATCTACTGTCTCGCTAATCTATCGGTGTCATGGGTCGTGATGATTGATGGATGGATGGATGGAGGTATGGTGACGGTTTTGCCTGCCTGCATGATGGCCGTCCGTCCATTGCGGTGGTGAGTGGGTTGATGATGGTTTATCCGTCAACCAAAGGCATATTCACATACCTTGTCGGTCCATCGAGGCCTTGCCTCTCGTCCAAATTCACATTCCCGTCCCTCACTACCGACCCGATTCCCTCTCGTACGGCTGGGGCCGTGAGTATGGCAGAAGAACTCAATCCCTCACACGACTCTCTCACACTGCCTCGTTTTGTTGCGGCCCCTCAACTGGCACGGCCACTTCCGTCAAGTGAGACCTGTGTGGGTAACAGACCCCAGGCCACCCGCGCAACAAAAGCAGCCGCCGCCAAGAGAGTCGCATCACGAGCAGGCCGGTCACACATCATCTTCATTGGTCTCTTGCGATCCACTACTAAACACGCCGACTCTCATTCTCAAGCTCATCTACTTGGGCGTCTCCCTCCCCCCCCCTCTGCTTTGCCCGCCCCCATGTAGCCTTCCCTCTCTCATGCTGCAATGGGCTGGGGCGTCTTCTTCATCACCTGGTCCATTCGCTCGTACCATGGCTTGATGCGCGAGTTGTCCATCATGTCGCGCCACGCGTCAAACTCACGGATGGAGTCGAGCACGCCATACACCTCAATGTCAGCTGCACACACACATACACGTACACAGATAGAGAGAGTGAGGCAAGCGAGGGAGAGCGGGCTCGTGTGTGTGTGTGTGTGTGTGTGTGTGTCGTTTACCAGTGGATGGGGTCTCGCCTCCCAGGTACTGGCGGTCGCCGACTGCATCGACGAACTCGTTGGCTGCGTCGTAGAGCGCCTGGCGCTCATCTGTGATGTCCATCTTCTTCTTCAGACCCTTAGAGACAGCAAACATCGCCAGCCCCCTGCACACACACACACACACACACACACACATGAAGTGCTGGGTGCAGATGCCCACCGGACACAGACGTACGCGCGCAGTGCATCCCACCCCACCCGATGTATCTGGTGTAGAAAGATTCCCATGGCGAGTAGTTGCCCGTGTCGGCTATTCTCCCAGTCACAGTCAGGGCCTCGGGGATGGTGCGGTAGATGTTGGGCGGCAGCGTCTTGGCGAGCTTCTCATTGACCCATGTGCGGTACTTGGACACCTCGTCTGCACACACTCACATACGATCATTAGGCAGGTTGTGTGTTCCCGTCACGCTTGCTCACCGGGGTCGCCTGCATTCTCTGCCGTCCTTCCCAAGACGGCCTGCAGCCGGCTGATGATCTCGGCTGAGTCGTTGACCTGCTCGCCGTTGATCATGGCTATCGGCACCTTCTTGTAGTCGTCTGAGAAGGCGATCTCCTTCTTGTTGCTGGGATTCACTTCCACCTAACACACAGACAGCGCACGGTATGGTGCACTACTGACTGCAACATGTGATGGATGGACGCAGCAGGGCGGTGCTCACCTTAGTGTACGGGACCTGACACAGACAAAACACATGTGTACACGAATGCATCACAGGAAACAATGCGCCACATGTGCATTCCTTTCAGTCACCTGGTTATACTCCAGATAGGCCCGGACTTTGCTGCAGAAAGGGCAGGTCTGCAGCCAGGCAACACCGCCACCCCACCCATACGCACAGATCTCAGATACCTGCCGATATATCCATCGGCCTTCCCTCCATCCATCCACCATCGCATACCTGGAACTGATACCTGAAATGGTCACACACACACAGGCGTCACAGCAGCACATGTATGTATCACATCAAAGCATGTGTCGTGATACATACAGAGTGACTTCAGGCAGCTGTGCTGCTGCGTCCATCATTCGCAGAGGTGAAGGGCGCAGATACGAAGAGGAGGGAGAGGTGAAGGTCGGCCGCAGGGAGCCTCTGAGGCCACGAGGCAGCGTTGAGGGCACATAGCCGCAAACCAACGTGACGGTGAGCAGCACAGTGGCAAGGAGGAGGAGGAACAGCTTCATTACGCAGACACAGGGAAAGAGAAGGGGGTGCCTCGACTTGCGTTCTTCGCAGAGATCTGCAGCTTCCTTCAGAGCTAAGCTCGCATTCTCACCGGCCCGACTCCCGAAGAGCAAGGATCCATGAGAATGCGGCGATGGCAGGTGAGAAATGAAAGCGCTGCCCCCTAGCTGCCCCAGCAACCAGTATTGCAATCCCGTCATATTGCAATGAGTCTGTCCGGCCCCATGAATGCACAACAGCAGCGGTAAGCAGCTGGTGGACTCGATTGATGCCAATTTATCTCTCAACACGTGACACGTCCGGTCTCTCCAATCCAACAATAACAGCGTATCTCGCAGCAGTCAAGAAACACACACAGGCCCTCTACTCATCAGCTACAAGTACACCTGGTGTGTGTTTGTGATGGGCTGTCTGCATCTCGGGCACAGCCGTGAGTCGCCAGTCTGCACACCCCATCCATCCATCCTCCACATGATATCCATCCATTGCAAATCAGTGCAACTCATCTGGCCATCCATGCCTTCCCCTTGGCGTGCTGGCTGTCCTGAAGAGCCTCCCTCCACTGGCAGTGCTGTGGTTCTTTCTACTGGGTGCTGTTCGGCTGGGCGGCGTCATGTGTGCGGCGAGCGGGTCGGACTGATCTGCTGCTGGCTGCGATTCAACGGACAGCACAGCATGTGAGTGATGGAAATGAATGATGGTCTTCTTGCGTGGTTGTATGGTCGATGTGATGGAAATGCATGGCAACCAGCTGCGGAGCTGCTGACATACGTCGATGATCCATCCAGTTGAGCGAGGCCGAACAGCCGTGCGAATGAATGGGAAGCATCGACTGACTGCATCGAGAGGGGCGCGAGGACATCTGAATGGAAATGCAAACATACATACATGGGTTCTTACATCCCAACAGGTTCCCACCCATGAACAAACATACTGACCGTATCACGTCAGTCAGTCAGTCAGTCAGTCAGTACATGCGTTTTGGTTCTTCTTCGTCATTCAGTCAGTCAGTCGCTTTGATTGGGTGCGAACACGCGCGCGATGCGGTGGAAGGCACGTCTGAGCGGCCCCTCTTGACTCATGGTATCAGCATCTGAACCAAGCAATGAAAACAAACAGCCAACAGGGCCAATGCGATATGCATACAGACATCTCGTATGTATCCGTTTCACTTGTCTGGGCGTTGGACGGTGTGGCGGTGGCCGTGGCAGCCTGACAGGCAGCGTCAGTGGGCCATGGCGCCATCTGCTTGATGACGATTGGGTGCCAAGGGTCTTTGGAGCTCCCCTCTGTGCCAAACACCTCGGCAATGGTCTGGCTGTCCTGCGCGTCCTCGTGACCAACGAACACCACATCACTCAGCTTCGTGCCCCACCTGATTGCCAAGAGGAAGCAGACACGTACACGAGACACATACAGTACGTCCGTACACTTCGCATGCATCGGATGATCAGTCAGTCAGTCAGTGACTGACAGTTGCTTACCAGATGGCTCCATACTCGAGGAGCAGCATCTTGAGGTCTTCCACGGTTCGCAGGCCCTCCGTGATATACCCCTCCATGGCCTCCTAGCCTGATCTTGGGTCCTCGCTCCACGTGAACATACGATATGCATCCTTTCCTTCGCAATCGCCACCTGCGAGCAAAGAGAGAGAGAGGGAGGGAGAGAGAGTTGAAACGATAGGATCTGCATCTCCCATGGCCCACCTGCAGCTCCCATGACGTGCCAAGAAGTACTGACAAGATCCGCTGCCATCCGCCAGCAGTCGAGAGGACGACTGACTCGAGGGACTCGTCTCGCCCTCTCGTCGGCCGAGTGCCTCACTCTCGCAACGCACAGCTGTCCGACAAGGCGCACAAACAAAACGCCGCACTTTGGCCTCTTCGGGGCTACAGGGTAACAAACCCTTTGACCCCTCGTCAAACCCTCCGGCTCTTTCGGTTCGGTGCGGACGGCTGTGTGTCGAGATCTGTCGTCCTTTGGCGTCCACTTTGCCTTGTCAGCTGAGGTCGGCGACACAGACGCACACACACGTGGTGAGTCGGTCAGGTCAGTGAGTGAGGGACGCCTCGACCATCGCCATGGTGTGAGACGCCGCTCTGCTCTGTGTGCTGTGCTGCAGATGTCTGTCTGTTGAGTGAGTGAGTGAGTGAGTGTGGGTGCGGCCGTCCGTCACGACAGACAGACAGACGGACACTGCTGCAGCTGAGGGCGTCGAGGTGACTTACCGCCGACTGCACTCGAACACCGCAGCGGTGCGCAGGCAGACAGCCACACACACACACGCAGACACACACACACACACACACAGATGGGATGGATGTGAAACACGACAGGAGAGAATCAGCCGACTGTCTGTCTGTCTGTCTGTGGTTTGTGTGGCGTGCAGGTGTGGTTGGCTGGCGGGTTTGACGACTGACGATGGCCGCTGAGTGGTGCTCGTCTGTGTGTGTGTGAGTGTGTGTGTGTGTGATGTGTCGGCCGATGTGTCGACGACTGACTCACTCGACTTAACTGAATCGCTTTGTCTCTCTCGTGGGTTGGCAGCCCTCTGGATGTCGTGGGGGTCTTCATTGTGCCGCATTGGATTGTCTGATTTGTCCGTCTGCTGCCGTGAGTGTGTGGGCCGGTGAGTGGGGGGTGGGGGAAATATGACAGACAGACAGACAGAGAAGGGGACGATTGGCTGATTGGCTGCACAGAGAATCGCTGTGTGGGGCGGTGTCTGGGCTGCCGTCTGTCTGTTGTCCGCTCGTTGGCGACGTCTGTTGGCGAGAGTGTGTCGATCTCTCGTCGGTGCATCCGTCACACACGGGCGGCTCACAGACAGACAGGCCAACACGCACACACACACCGATCTGTCTGACATCCAGGGGTCAACCCTGGTATTGTGTGTGGTTTCCTGCGTGCGGGTGTCTTCACCTCCCTCTCTGTCTGGGCATCTCATGAGAGTCTGGCTGCCTGCGTCATGTCTGGAGGGAAAAAGACTGTTTTGTGTTCTGTCTGCTATCGTGTCTTTGGTGCGCCTTCATGCGTGTGTCCTCCCCTCCCCTCTTCCTTTGTGGTCATGTGTCACACGGCGATGGACACACACACACACACAGAGGTGCAGCTGTGGGTGTTTCTCTCTTGTCATTCGCCTCTCTGGCTGCATGTCAATGAGTGTGAATGGGAGGGGAGAGACTGTTTTGTCAATCTTGTGTGTCGTGTCTGGTACTCTGTGCGGTTTGCCTTCGTGTGTCGTCGCCTCTCCCTTCGTGGGCATCGCATCGAGTCAGGCAATCTTAGAGCATCAGTCTATGTCAGGTGTCGGTGCTTTGGGGTTGCCGGGCTGCGACAGAGATGCACACAGAGGGAAATGGACAGACACACGACGGTTTGATGATCCCATGGCGACACACACAATGACACACTGACATGAGTGAGTGTGTGTGTCCGGTGGGTTAAGGTAAGCAGAGAGAGATGGGATGGGCGCATCAGTGAGAGAGAGAGTGTTCGGTTGTTCTGTGGTGTCCGTGTTGGTGTCCGTCCTCACTCTCTGTGTGCGGTGGCCGCCGGGCGCATGACAGACAGACACGACATCGCTGACTGTGTGTTGACGATGCGCACACCCGATACTTCAACGTTATGCTTGTAAGACTGTCTTGTAAGTACGCCTATACACACACTGACACAGATGGATGGATGGATGGATGGCCGTGCCTCTCTCTCTCTCTCTCTCTGTGCCGGTGGGTGGCTGGCTGGCGCATTGCTGTGTGTGTGTGAAGGAGAGAGAGATGGGATTGGCGCACAAGGGAGGAATAGAGAGGCGTATGTTTGGTTCTTGTCTTGGTGTGCATCGTGTGTCGGTGTGCTGAATGTCATTGCGATGATGATCACCTTACGCACTGAATGTTCATTCTCACTCTCTGTGTGGGGTGGCCATCGCGCGCATGACAGACACACACCAGACCACACAAAGGAAGAGAGACAGGCTGCTGCTGGTGGTGGGTCACGTGGATAAATTCCCTCTCTATCTGTCTGGTTTGGTGTGTTGTGTGGCACTCACCCACTCCCACTGCATCGGCTGAGTGTGCCGCTTTTGATTGACTGAGTGGCTGACATGTTCGCTGCATTGGGGGGCGCTGATTGATGTGGGCAGTGAGCACAGTGACAGTGAGACGAAGCTCCGACACACATAACGTCGATGTGTGTGTACAGTGTGTTGTACAGTTGAGTGGATAAGTGGGGGTTGTCGATAAAGGACATCTGTGTGTGGAAGACATCAACACATCAACGTGTGTATGGTGACTGACTATCTCTCTCTGTGCCGCATAAGTTAGAGAGAAAGGCGTGGCTGCTTCTCGATTTGGGTGTGGTGTGTGGATGTGCTGACTCTCATGCGCGTCGCGTCGGTGACCTGACACATTGAGTCCTCACACTCACTCTCTGTGTGCGGTGGCCGTCGAGCAGATGACAGACAGACACACAGCACACGGGGGAATGAATGAGCGGACAGCAGACTTCATTAGGGTGTGTGTGTGTGTGAGTCCGATCATGAGGGAATACACCGGCCGTCGACTTGATAACCTCATCGACCGATCGACTGACTGACTCGCCACCTCGTTATCAAGTGCCATCGCTCACCCACACGATTGTACACCCACCGAATGACACTCGTCCAATCACCCCGAGCAGCCACGAGAGAATGGCTCAGTCAGTAGAACACATACAGCTCCGCTCAACAATCAGGTGATTCTGCCAGATTGGCCCGGCTGGCCTCCCCCCCCGGCTGCCGGGATTTGCATGGGTGCCCTGATGCAATAAAACATAATCCAACGAATGTCCAGCTGTTCTAGCTTTTCTATTTTTCGATTTCTCCCCCGCCAAACAAACACAGACAAGCTGAAGATCGTGTTCAGACCAGGGTGAATTTCTTCGATCAGTTCTATCTCAATCTCAGAGAATCGATCATCCTCCTTTTTGCTGCCACTTCAGAGGCATTTCCGCTCTCAAGAGGCAAGTCTTAGAGGAGTTCTATCATCTCTACTTGTCTCTCCACGGTCTTACAAAAGATAACTTTGTTATGTTTTGTATCTTTTGTTTGCTTGCATGGGTGCGAGGGACACACGGAGGACCCCAAAGGCGGCTGCCGAGACAGCTGAAAACTTGACAAAGCTAACTTTGTTAACAAAGTCAACAGAGTTAACTTTGTTAGCTTTCATATCTTTTGTGTACGGACATATGAAAGTTAACTTTGCTATCTTTCGTATCTTTTGTCAGCTTACATGGGGGTGAGGCACACACAGTCGGCTGCCGGGACACGAGAAACTTGACAAAGTCAACTTTGTTAACTACGTTCAATTTGTTAACTTACATATCTTTTGTATACGGACGTATGAAAGTTAACAAAATTAACTCTCTTGTCTCTTACTTTGTTCGTTTCTGGGGAAAGGAACAGGTTGTTAGGCAGACAGTCAGACACGCATGTAGACAGACGCCGACAGGCAGAGAAACCGACAGGCAGACAGCCAGGCAAGCAGACCGGCAGGCATGCAGACGGGCAGAAAGGCAAAGGGTTTAGGGTTTAGGGTTTCGGGTTTAGGGTTTAGGGTTTAGGGTTTAGGGTTTCGGGTTTAGGGTTTAGGGTGTAGGGCTTAGGGTTTTGGGGGTTAGGGTTTAGGGTTTAGGGTTTAGGGTCTAGGGTTTTAGGGTTTAGGGTTTAGGGTTTAGGGTTTAGGGTGTAGGGTTTAGGGTTTAGGGTTTAGGGTTTAGGGTTTAGGGTTTAGGGTTTAGGGTTTAGGGTTTAGGGTTTAGGGTTTAGGGTTTAGGGTTT